GATGCTACAGTTGTCCCATTAAGGCCCCTTGCTGAGAGGTGGATGGGTGAGTGGCAGCCAGGAAGGGAGGCCTGGTGCAGTTGGAGTCACGCTGTTGCAGCCGTGGGGCCGAGGGTGTTGGGGACAGAAGCTGCTGCACAGGTATAGTCCACTCACACCTGGAGTTTGGACCTGTAGACATCGGATCTCTGCTGTTGCTGGGTCCCACTGGACCGCTAAGTCCTAAGGGCAGGGATGGGTGAGCATGTGTGTCTCCCCTGACCAGGCCATGTCATCTGGGCTGGGAGACATGCGTGTGGGTGTGTGTGATGGTTGAGTGAAGCCAAGCGGCAGGCGCAGAGCGAGGGGCGCAGACAGCAGCATCGTAGAACCAGCGCAGCTGGGCCGTGGCGGTCCTGGGCTTCCGTGGAGCTGCTGCCCACGCTCATGACTGCGTGCTCCGGGGGCAGCGAACTGCCACTTCCTGTGCCATGGGATGCTCTGACATCGTGTTTCAGCATCTCTCTGCTTTATCTGTCATCATCATCTGGCCCCCTGTGTCTTTTTGCTGGGTTCCCTAGCTCTGTCAGTCCTCTGCACACCGGTGTAGCCATCAGTCACCTGACTACCTTGGACGCACCTGTCAGCCACCCACGTCTGCAGACATCTACCTAGGACCATGAAGTTTGTGTGGAAGGGGAGCCAGGGTGTGGGTAGGGAAGGGGAGGTGCTGGCTGAGGGCAGAGCGCTGGCAGAGTGACACAGGGCTTGTGGCTGAGGTATCGGGTATCCAGACTGAGGAACCCCTCCCTGCTTCCTCCCTCTCCTTGCCCCCATCTGTCCCTCCTTTCCTGCTCCTCTGTATTCCCCGCTCCATTCTCCTCCTTCCTGCTCCCCTCCCCCTCCCTCCCCCTCCCTCCCCCTCCCTCCCCCTCCCTCCCCCTCCCTTTCTCCTTTCTTCCTCTATTCCCTTCCCCCCTCCCCCCCCTTCACTCTCTGTTGCTTTTTCCTCCCAGGCCCACAACTGATGGCCCGAAGGCTGGGCAGGAGGGTGCTGGAGGGGAGGGGTCCCCTGCTTTGAGGTGTTGCCTTGGGGACAGGCATGCTGCTGCTCCAGGATGGAAATGCTGTCTCCAGGGGCAACAGCCCTGTGTGTTAACCAGAGTGTGGCCAGGAGGAGGGTGCAGGGCCCCCAGGGCAGCTGTGGGGACGGGCAGGCATGGGCGAGAGAGCCTGGGCACAGGGCATCAGGGGCAGAGACGTGTTCTCTGGGCGCCCAGTTCAGGTGGGTCAGTGGGCTTCCTAACCAGGTCCCCTCCCGTAGTGTGGGGGTCCTCTTTCTTCATGCATCCTGGCTCTTCTCTTTTCCGGTTACCAGCATGCCTGGCCTCGGGCCAGCAGCTGCACACTCCAGGGCGGGGTGGAGTGGGGGACCACGCAGCCCCAGGGTGCTCCCGGTGAGGCTCCAGAGGGCCATGCATGGGATGAACTGGGGAATCCTGAACCCTGGGTGCCCCGCTTTGGCACTGAGGTCAGCCACAGCGAGGGACTGGAGCCGGTGTTAGGGCCACTCACTCAGTGTCCACCTACTCAGTGTCCACTCCCTCAGTGTGCCACTCACTCAGTGTCCCCACTCAGTCTGTGTCCCCACTCACTCAATGTCCACTCACTCAGTGTCCCAACTCACTTTGTGTCCACTCACTCAGTGTGCACTCAGTGTGCACTCACTCAGTGTCCACTCACTAGTGTCCACTCACTCAGTGTCCACTCACCGAGTGTCCACTCACTCAGTGTCTCCACTTAGTGTCCACTCACTCAGTGTGCACTCACTCAGTGTGCACTCACTGAGTGTCCACTCACTCAGTGTGCCACTCACTTAGTGTCCACTCACTGAGTGTCCACTCACTCAGTGTCCACTCACTCAGTGACCACTCGGTCAGTGTCCACTCACTGAGTGTCCACTCACTCAGTGTCCACTCACTCTGTGTCCCCACTCACTCAGTGTCCACTCACTCTGTGTCCCCACTCACTCTGTGTCCACTCACTCAGTGTCCACTCACTCTGTGTCCCCACTCACTCAATGTCCACTCACTTAGTGTCCCCACTCACTCAGTTTCCACTCACTCAGTGTCCCCACTCACTGAATGTCCACTCTGTGTCCCCACTCACTCAGTGTCCACTCACTCAGTGTCCACTCCCTCTGTGTCCCCACTCACTCAGTGTCCACTCACTCTGTGTCCCCACTCACTCAGTGTCCACTCACTCTGTGTCCCCACTCACTCAGTGTCCACTCACTCTGTGTCCCCACTCACTCAGTGTCCACTCACTCAGTGTCCCCACTCACTCAGTGTCCACTCACTCAGTGTCCACTCACTCTGTGTCCCCACTCACTCTGTGTCCACTCACTCAGTGTCCACTCACTCTGTGTCCCCACTCACTCAGTGTCCCCACTCACTCAGTGTCCACTCACTCAGTGTCCACTCACTCTGTGTCCCCACTCACTCTGTGTCCACTCACTCAGTGTCCACTCACTCTGTGTCCCCACTCACTCAGTGTCCACTCACTCAGTGTCCACTCCCTCTGTGTCCCCACTCACTCAGTGTCCACTCACTCAGTGTCCACTCACTCCGTGTCCCCGCCCACTGTGTGGCGCTGCACTCGGTTCTGCCTTCTGGTCTGTGAGAAGTTGCGGCCTGGGCACCTCGTGCTGCTGTGAGGAAATGCCAAGCGCAGGGCAGGGGCAGTCGGACAGCAGGGCAACACCTGCAGCTGCTGCTCGAGCGGACGAAGGTGGAAACCGACCTCCCAGTGCCCAGGGGACAGGGGACAGCACTGCCCACACGGCGACGGGCTCATCCAGTGCCCAGGGGACAGGGGACAGCACTGCCCATCGGCGACGGGCTCATCCAGTGCCCAGTGCCCAGTGCCCAGGGGACACCACTGCCCACACGGCGACGGGCTCATCCAGTGCCCAGTGCCCAGGGGACACCAGGGCCCACACGGCGACGGGCTCATCCAGTGCCCAGTGCCCAGTGCCCAGGGGACACCACTGCCCACACGGCGACGGGCTCATCCAGTGCCCAGTGCCCAGGGGACACCACTGCCCACACGGCAACGGGCTCATCCAGTGCCCAGTGCCCAGTGCCCAGGGGACACCACTGCCCACATGGCGACGGGCTCATCCAGTGCCCAGTGCCCAGTGCCCAGGGGACACCACTGCCCACACGGCGACGGGCTCATCCAGTGCCCAGTGCCCAGGGGACACCAGGGCCCACATAGCGACGGGCTCATCCAGTGCCCAGTGCCCAGGGGACACCACTGCCCACACGGCGACGGGCTCATCCAGTGCCCAGTGCCCAGTGCCCAGGGGACACCACTGCCCACACGGCGACGGGCTCATCCAGTGCCCAGTGCCCAGGGGACACCAGGGCCCACACGGCGACGGGCTCATCCAGTGCCCAGTGCCCAGTGCCCAGGGGACACCACTGCCCACACGGCGACGGGCTCATCCAGTGCCCAGTGCCCAGGGGACACCACTGCCCACACGGCAACGGGCTCATCCAGTGCCCAGTGCCCAGTGCCCAGGGGACACCACTGCCCACACGGCGACGGGCTCATCCAGTGCCCAGTGCCCAGGGGACACCAGGGCCCACATAGCGACGGGCTCATCCAGTGCCCAGTGCCCAGGGGACACCACTGCCCACACGGCGACGGGCTCATCCAGTGCCCAGTGCCCAGGGGACACCACTGCCCACACAGCGACGGGCTCATCCAGTGCCCAGTGCCCAGGGGACACCAGGGCCCACACGGCGACGGGCTCATCCAGTGCCCAGTGCCCAGTGCCCAGGGGACACCACTGCCCACACAGCGACGGGCTCATCCAGTGCCCAGGGGACACCAGGGCCCACACAGCGACGGGCTCATCCAGTGCCCAGTGCCCAGTGCCCAGGGGACACCACTGCCCACACGGCGACGGGCTCATCCAGTGCCCAGTGCCCAGTGCCCAGGGGACACCAGGGCCCACACGGCGACGGGCTCACCCAGGGCAGCACAGCAGACCAGCAGCAGAGCCACACAAAGCTCAGCTCTTGCGCGTCAGACACCCGGCTTGGGGTCCCGCCTCGGGGGGCGCGCGGGCGCCTGGGACCCCCGAGGACGCCGAGGCAGAGCAGCTGCAGCGCCGGGTGAGAGCGGGGCAGGACCGGCGGACGCGGAGCTGCACGGCCGCCCAGCCCGCGCCTTTGTGCGTCTCGCACTGACATTCGAGGGGCTCCCGGCCCCCCGAGGGTGAGGGACCCGCCCACGCAGGGTGAGGGGCGGTGAGGGGCGCGCTGCCGAGCCCCCCGCCCCCGCGCCGCCCGGCTCCGCCCCTCGTGCGGGGTCCGCGTCTGCGGCTGCGTCCCCCGAAAGACGAGGCTGCGCCCGGGTTCCAGTCCGCAGGGAGAGCGAAGGGCAAGGCTCCCGCGCGACGTCGCCACCCGAGCCCGAGTGGCTCCCCAGGGATGTGAGTGCGCCCCCCGACCCCGAGGCCCGCGCTCCACGCCCTGACCGCGGTGAGCGCCCGGGGCTGCGCGCGGGAGGCCGGGAGAGGGGCTGGGTGCGGGGTTCCCGGCCCCTCGGCTCAGGGGTGGCGGTGGGGGACCTGGTGCCACTCCACCCCAACCGGCAGGTGCGGCCGCGGCCCCCTCGTCCTGCCCTTGGCGTGCGGACCGCACCTCCCGCTGCCCCCGCAGGTGCCCAGCGCGTCATCATCCCGTCCGGGAGCTCCGACCCCTTCCTCCCGGAGCGGGTGTGCGGCACGGTGGGCGCTGGGGGCGCGGGCGGGGGATGGGCGGGGGGCGTCACGCGCGCTGCAGGCCGCCCGCCCTTGGCCCTGGATCCCCCCGCCAGCCGGCCGCGTTCCGAGGCCAGAGAAGGGGGAGGGTCCTTGGGCTCGCCGGGGCCGCGTCTGCTGACCGAGGCGTCTCCCTGCTAGGCCCGAGCCTCCGAGGACCCCCGCCCGCAGCCTCCGCGCCTCCGTGCGGCTCGCCCGGAGCATGCTGCCCGCAGCCATGAGGGGCCTCGGCCTGGCGCTGCTGGCCGCGCTGCTGTGCTCGGCGCCCGGTGAGTCGGGCCGCGCGGGGCAGGGCGCGGGGCAGGGCGCGGGGCAGGGCGCGGGGCAGGGCGCGGGGCAGGGCGCGGGGCAGGGCGCGGGGCTGCAGGCTCCTGCTGCTCGCGGCCTGAGCCTCCGGGGAGGGGGCGTGGCTCCTCTGGAGAACCTGCCGCGGGAAGTGGGGGGAGGCCTGGGCCTGGCCGGCCTGGCCTGGTCATCCTTCACCCCATGCCTGCCCAGCTCAGGGCCTGTGGTGCCAGGACTGCACCCTGACCACCAACTCCAGCCATTGCACCCCGAAGCAGTGCCAGCCGTCTGACACGGTGTGTGCCAGCGTCCGCATCACTGACCCCAGCAGCAGTAAGTGGGGCCCTGTGTGTGGGGGGCACGGAGTGGCCGGGGGCTGGGCCCGACCCTCCCTGGCTCCTCCAGTGCGTGGGGGCTGGTGGGGTTCCTGGGGGCGTGTGGCCGCCCAGGCGGGGTTCAGGTGACGTGCCCGTCTCTGCTCAGGCAGGAAGGACCAGTCGGTCAACAAGATGTGCGCCTCCTCGTGCAGCTTCGTGAAGCGGCACTTCTTCTCGGACTACCTGATGGGGTTCATCAACTCGGGCGTCCTAAAAGTCGACGTGGACTGCTGCGACAAGGACCTGTGCAACTCGGCAGTGGCCGGGCCGCGGTGCAGCCCCTGGGCCCTTGCGGGGGTGCTGCTGCTCAGCCTGGCGCCTGTCCTGCTCTGGGCGCCCGCCCTCCCGCGGGGCCGCTGACCTAGCAATCCTGCCCAGCTGGGCTGGCTCCGTGCTCTGGGGGGAGGGCCTGCCCACCCCCCAGAGGTGAGGCTTCCCTGCCTGTCCACCAGCTCTGCGTCCAGGACCCCGTGCAGCCTGTGGGGCGGGCCTGGGGAGACCGGGACTCCCGGGTTACTGGGGGCAGCCAGGCCAGGCCAGACCCGGCCAGACCCGGCCGAGAGGGCATCTGCCGTGGAGAAATAAAGTCACTTCTGAGTCCTGAGACTCGGTCTGAGCGTGCGTGTGGGCGTGAAGAGGCAGAGGACACCTCGTGGGTAGGTGGGTGCTCGCCCAGGGAGCACACAGCATGGTCCCAGGGGTTCTGCACACTCACCCAGGCTGGCAGAGTGGCAAGCTGCCTGGGCAGTGCTGTGTTGGCTGCCCTGTGTGGGGAGGGCAGAGGGAGCCCCACCCTAGTAGCAGGTGTGCTCTCACTGTGTCTCCAGGGCTGCTCTTCTGGGGGAGGGAGGGGATGAGGAGCTGGGCCCGGCAGGTGCACAGGCCTACTGTCCCGCTGGAGGAGCCTGCTGAGGGCCATGTCCACTGTGGGCCATCTCCTGTCCTTTGGACACCCACTTACTGCTTTGTGTGTTGGGGGGCCCGGGAGCCCAGGAAGAGGAGGAGGAGGTAGAATTGACAAAGACCCCAGGAAGTCTTGGAGTGTGGGGAGGGGTGATCGGTGCTGTCCAGGCTGCTGACCCCGTGAGCTGAGCCTCCTGCTGGAGGGAAACGTGGGGAAGTGGGGGATGTTCTCACTCCTTGGGGTGTTGCTCCTTCCCTCCACCCTAGGGACCACAGCTGCAAGGTGGGCCGTGTCCCCTCCTGGCAGCCATCCTGTGCCCCCACCAGCCCAAGCCAGGGAGCTGTGGATAGCCCCGGTTCTGGAGAGTGGGGGCCGACTGAGGGCTTTGTGGCTGAGGAGGTGGCCGCCTCCAGCCATGGCTGGCATCCAGCCCCTGAGTGAGAGCTGCGCTCCCTGCGGCTCTGGGCTCAGCACCCCCATGCCGGTCTTTGCTCGCCCTTCCATCTGGTGGCCCTTGAGCCCAGCCAGGAGCGCAGCAGGGGGCGGGACCTCCTGTACTGTGTAGCTCGGTGGTCCCAGGCTTTCCTGGTGGGGCGGCAGGGGTCCCGCCCCTTGCCCTTCAGTGTATGCAGCTGCTGTGGGTCGCAGGGGACGAGGGCTGTGGCTCTGAGTGCTGAGTGCCTGCAGACCCCAACCCCTCTGCATGGTGTGGCTGGGACCGCGCGGGGGGGACGTGCCTGGGGTGCACAGTGACCTCGGAGCCCGGGAGGACCCCAGAGGCTGTGAGTGTGTGTTTGTGTGTGTGCTTTTAACTTTGCAGTGAGGGCTGGAGGCCCACGTGACTCCATGGCAGCGTTCCTGTCCCGTGGCATGGCTCTGCCCTGCCGCTTGCCCTCGGGGCTGGGGGCCGCACAGCATGGCACGTAGTGAGCGTAAGGAAGGTGGTGCATCAAGGCCGACACGGTGGCTCAGTAGGCTGTTTCTCAGCCTGGGGCTCTGACATCCCACGTGGGCAACGGTTCGTGTGCCAGCTGCCCTGCTTCCAATCGAACTCCCTGCTTGAGACTTGGGAAAGTAGCAGAGGACGGCCCACACGCGGGAGACCCAGGAGAGGCTCTCGGCTCCTGGCTTCACACGAGCCCAGGTGATGGCCGTGATGGTCATTTTCAGAGTGAAGCAGTGGATGGAAGATCTCTCTCTGTAATTCTGACTTTCAAGTAAAATGAATACAGCTTCACAAAAATAATATTTAGAAGAAAAGAAGTGCAGCAACAAGGAGCAAATTCACAGCCCACCTGTGAGTTTATCTCTTAATGTCTAATTACCAGAGACTAGAATGCGAAAGGGAGGCTGCCTGCCCACGTGGGGCTCCAGGCTTGGGGTCTTGGGGCAGGGGAGCGTGGTGACAGTGGAGGAGTGGGGACGGGGACAGATTTTCCTCTGGGCTTTTTAACCTTGGGAGGGCTGGCTCCCTGGATGCCATGGAGATGGAAGGCAATGCAGAGTGCTGGGGGATGGAGGGTCAGGTGTCAGATCCCTGGTGGGAGATCAAGAGGGCACAGGGTGCCAAATTGTGGGGATGCCACCTGTGGTGCCTTTCCCCAGAGCTGGGGACCACGCAGAGCTCCTGGCCTGACTGGCAGGGCCTAACGCTTGACCACCTGGGCAGCGTGGTTTGTGGTTCTGTCCAGGTTAGGATTCCAGGCGTTCTGGGGACCAGGGCTCATCAGGAAGGGAGCTCCTCCCTGTTGCCATGGTTACCCTGGGTTCCCATCCCCCCCCCCCGTGTTTTCCTCTGGTACTCTTGTCCCTTGGGCAGCCAGGCTTGTCTCCCTCCTAGCTTCTCCCTGCCAGCCTGCACCTGTCCCCAGGGGTCTACGGGGTTTCCTCCCTGCTGCTGGCCCTGGGCTCAGTCCACCTGCTTGTGGCCGGAGCAGCTGCCCTAGAACCTCAGAGTTTGAGCCCAAGCCTCAGGGCTACCAGGAGTTGGACTGGGGACCCCTGTGCATTGGGGAGCTCACCACCTATGTTCCCCCTCCCCCCTCAAGTACAGGCCTAGCTGGAGGATGCTACAGTTGTCCCATTAAGGCCCCTTGCTGAGAGGTGGATGGGTGAGTGGCAGCCAGGAAGGGAGGCCTGGTGCAGTTGGAGTCACGCTGTTGCAGCCGTGGGGCCGAGGGTGTTGGGGACAGAAGCTGCTGCACAGGTGTAGTCCACTCACACCTGGAGTTTGGACCTGTAGACATCGGATCTCTGCTGTTGCTGGGTCCCACTGGACAGCTAAGTCCTAAGGGCAGGGATGGGTGAGCATGTGTGTCTCCCCTGACCAGGCCATGTCATCTGGGCTGGGAGACATGCGTGTGGGTGTGTGTGATGGTTGAGTGAAGCCAAGCGGCAGGCGCAGAGCGAGGGGCGCAGACAGCAGCATCGTAGAACCAGTGCAGCTGGGCCGTGGCGGTCCTGGGCTTCCGTGGAGCTGCTGCCCACGCTCATGACTGCGTGCTCCGGGGGCAGCGAACTGCCACTTCCTGTGCCATGGGATGCTCTGACATCGTGTTTCAGCATCTCTCTGCTTTATCTGTCATCATCATCTGGCCCCCTGTGTCTTTTTGCTGGGTTCCCTAGCTCTGTCAGTCCTCTGCACACCGGTGTAGCCATCAGTCACCTGACTACCTTGGACGCACCTGTCAGCCACCCACGTCTGCAGACATCTACCTAGGACCATGAAGTTTGTGTGGAAGGGGAGCCAGGGTGTGGGTAGGGAAACTGTGGGTAGGGAAGGGGAGGTGCTGGCTGAGGGCAGAGCGCTGGCAGAGTGACACAGGGCTTGTGGCTGAGGTATCCAGACTGAGGAACCCCTCCCTGCTTCCTCCGTCTCCTTGCCCCCATCTGTCCCTCCTTTCCTGCTCCTCTGTATTCCCCGCTCCATTCTCCTCCTTCCTGCTCCCCTCCCCCTCCCTCCCCCTCCCTCCCCCTCCCTCCCCCTCCCTCCCCCTCCCTTTCTCCTTTCTTCCTCTATTCCCTTCCCCCCTCCCCCCCCCTTCACTCTCTGTTGCTTTTTCCTCCCAGGCCCACAACTGATGTCCCAAGGCTGGGCAGGAGGGTGCTGGAGGGGAGGGGTCCCCTGCTTTGAGGTGTTGCCTTGGGGACAGGCATGCTGCTGCTCCAGGATGGAAATGCTGTCTCCAGGGGCAACAGCCCTGTGTGTTAACCAGAGTGTGGCCAGGAGGAGGGTGCAGGGCCCCCAGGGCAGCTGTGGGGACGGGCAGGCATGGGCGAGAGAGCCTGGGCACAGGGCATCAGGGGCAGAGACGTGTTCTCTGGGCGCCCAGTTCAGGTGGGTCAGTGGGCTTCCTAACCAGGTCCCCTCCCGTAGTGTGGGGGTCCTCTTTCTTCATGCATCCTGGCTCTTCTCTTTTCCGGTTACCAGCATGCCTGGCCTCGGGCCAGCAGCTGCACACTCCAGGGCGGGGTGGAGTGGGGGACCGCGCAGCCCCAGGGTGCTCCCGGTGAGGCTCCAGAGGGTCATGCATGGGATGAACTGGGGAATCCTGAACCCTGGGTGCCCCGCTTCGGCACTGAGGTCAGCCACAGCGAGGGACTGGAGCCGGTGTTAGGGCCACCAGGGAGAGCCCTGGGAACCTGGACGGGGTGGGAGGCAGCGGGAGCCACTCCCTTGCTGACCACTGGGGCAGCCCCAGGTCCCGTAGGCCCGTCAGTCCCTCGTGCGCGCTCCTGCCCCCAGAGTCCCTGCGGTGGGGTCGGTGATCATGTGGGCCCAGGCTTCCCAGGGAAGCTGTGGGGTTGTCCCTGGCTTCCCTCTTCTAAATGCCAATCTGAACAAGCTAGACTGGGGCCACGGAGCCTGTGGCGCAGTCACACAGGGCCAGGCCTGTGACCGTGCTGGCAGTGACCCATCCTTGGACAAGCCTCCTTAGGAGCCCCTGGGCTGATTCTGCCTCCTGTATGTGCTCGTAGGAGAACTCCCCGGGGCCTTCATCGCCCTGTGACCCCAGCCTGGGAGGTGCACATGCCACCTCCAGTGTAACACCTCCGAGGGGCATCGCTTCTGCCACGGCTACTCCCAACAGCCACTGGGGGCACGGGCACAGGCCTGGCTTGCCTGTGCGATTGGAAACCCTGGCCCGATCTCTGACTGCAAGAACACAGCCTGCTCTGCTCTGTGTCCATGGGACCTTGCGACTGGCTGAGAAGGGCAGGAACTGAGCCGCTCCCCTCCCCCAGCCCCGACTTTCAGCCTTGCAGACCAACTCCGCATCCCTCTGTCCTGCTGTCAGTCACTGGCGGGTCCTGAACCAGGTGCACGTCCTGAGCTCGGTTCAGTAGCCATTCATTGGTATTCTAGAACGTTCTCTATGTTTCTTCCGCACAGAGGTTCTTGTCTTCTGGTAAGAAAAGAATTTCAAATGTGATACTGATTTATTTATTTATTTGTGTAAAAGCTGAAGAGCAAGAGAGACACAGCAGAATCTTCCATCTGCTGGTTCACTCCCCAGACGGCTGCAATGGCCGGGGCTGGGCAAGGCCAGAAGCAGGAGCCTGGGACCCCATTCAGACTTCCATACGGATGCTAGGGGCTGGGGCTCCTGGGCCGTCCTCTGCCGCTTTCCCAGGTGCATTAGCAGGGAGCTGCCTGGGAGCAGATGCCAACAGCGTGGGGTCTGGCTTAGCTCACCTTGCCCGGTGCCTGCTCCAAGCTGGGAAGATACGAAGACAGCAGGCAGGACCAGGACCCAGCACCCCTGGCATCGCTGCTACGCTCAGTCACCTCTGCCTGCCCCACTGGGGTTTCGGGGTGTTTGTGGCCTCTTCCCAGGCCGTGGAGACTCAGCAGCTTCCGGGGCGTGAAATGATGGGGAGGAGGGGCAAGCATGAGCCTTGGACGTCCGGCAGGCAGAGCGTGACTCTAGAAGCCGAGACTCGGGGTCTGCAGCATCCAGACGGCAGGTTGGTGAGTCCATGGCAGAGGGCTGCAGACCCTTGCCCCATGGGCCTCCTCCTGCCAGCTTTGCTCTTTGCCCTGTCAGCTCCAAGGACAGCCTGTGCTGGATCCTGCTGATCTGGGCTCTGTCGACCAGGGGCTCTGTCGGCAGACCCCAGGAACAGGATGGACCTGGGCGCACATGGACAGAAGCTGGCTGCTAGCCTGATGTGCAGGCATCTTGGGTGAAGAGGGGTGGTCACGAAAGGGCACCCAATTGAGAGGCCAGCTGGGCATCCAGCAGAGTCCACACGGGGCCCTCGGGGGTATGGGGTGCTCCTCTCTCTGTCCTCCGGGGGTGTGGCTGGGCCTTTGTGGGTGCAGGGCTGTGTGTTTGCCTCTTGTCCTGACCCAGCCTGCTCCCCACAGGAGCCCCCAGGCGATGCGGAGGAGCCTCTGGGCCAGGGAGATTAGCAAGAATATCAGGTGATCCAAGAACCATGTGCAGGGCAGCCAGGCCCCGAAGCGGGGGCTGCAGCCCTCCGTATCCATCACTCTGGGGCGGGCATCCATGCGCAGCATCAGCAGGCAGAGTCACCACCCAGGACTCCCTTCCAGCTTCCCTTGTTGTGTGGTCTGTCTGGTCAGCCTGATCTCTGATGTCCAGCGGGGATTATGCCTGCGGCCTGGTCTCTGTGCCGCGGACGAGCATTGGGAGCCCAGGGCCTCGGTCTCATAGGCCAGCAGGGACCCCCCCCCCCCCAAGGGAAGCAATGGACGGCGACCGTCCTGCCTGCTCATGTAGGGGATAGGCAGTGGGGCAGAGGGATGTCGGAACCGGCTCAGAATTCCCGACTGCAGATGGAAGCAGGAGAGAACAGCCTCTGCCGTTGGTGGTCGTGGCTTCCTGGGCCCTCCAGGGTGGCTGTTGGGCGCCCCTGGGCTGAGATGGACATGGGTGCTGAGCAGGGGTGGAGTGCTGGGGGGCAGGTGCTTGAGCCCTGGGCTGGACGCTATGAAGGTGAAAGCTCCATCTTAGCCTTCTATGGTCTCTTCTGGAACCATGTACATGGCGCCTGCTCTACCTCTTGCTGCCTGACTCCGGCCAGGAGTTCTGGGCCCTCAGCCAGAACCCTTCTCAACCCGCAGTTGCTGGTAGGCCCTCGCAGGACCTCTGACCCAGTGTGTCCCCAGCCACAGGAGCAATCTCTGTCCCCCATGTGGCTTCAGCGCTGTGGACTGGTTCTGCCCTGATGCAACAGCCCCAGCGGCAGAGTGTGCAGAGTCAGGCCTGGGGTGGCTGGCCTGGAGGAGCCTGGGGCAGGGTCCGGGGTGGACAGCCAGGCTAGCGGTCAAGGCAAGAGGGTCAGGGCCGGCCAAGCAACTGGAGGCAGGAGGCCAGGCAGGGCCAGCAGAGCCAGCAGGAGGAGGATGAGGCCGGCGTGCAGCAGAGGCTGCCCCCGCCCCGTGCGCGGGGCCTGGTTGCAGAGGTACCCGGAGCAGCAGTGCCTGAAGATCCTGACGTCGGTCTCAGGGCTTGGCGACCACTGGAATACGTGGTTGGTACTGGGGCAGTGGCGTGCACAGCGCTTGCTGATGGACACCATCGTCCTCTGCCCTGCAGAAGAGACAGCCATGGCCCAGCATCCCGAGGGAGCAGGTGCACGAGGCACTGTCCCCGCCCTGTGCCACCCTGCCCTGCCCACCATCGCACAAATAAGGCATAACAGGCAGATCCCGCCAGCTGCGGGCCATGGCCCGGGCTGCTCCTGCCACGGCTGCGGTGCGAACAGGTGGGATGGGAGATGGCAGCCAGAGAACAGTGGGGCACCAGCCCCGGATTGGCCACCTGGCGCCGACCTTAAGGAATGTGGCCCAGCTGTGCCGCGCCCTACGTCCCAGGCAGGGGGCAGGATTGCTGTGTGGGTCTACGTGATCACGTGGTAGCGTGTTAACTGTATGATCTGTGGTAGCGTGTTACACTGTATGATCATGTGATAACATGTTACACTGTATGATCTGTGGTGACGTGTTACACTGTATGATCTGTGGTGACGTGTTACACTGTGTGATCTGTGGTAGCATGTCACACTGTATGATCTGTGGTGACGTGTCACACACACTGTATGATCTGTGGTGACGTGTTACACTGTATGATCTGTGGTGACGTGTTACACTGTGTGATCTGTGGTGACGTGTTACACTGTGTGATCTGTGGTAACGTGTTACACTGTATGATCTGTGGTGACGTGTTACACTGTATGATCTGTGGTGACGTGTTACACTGTATGATCTGTGGTGACGTGTTACACTGTATGATCTGTGGTGACGTGTTACACTGTATGATCTGTGGTGACGTGTTACACTGTATGATCTGTGGTGACGTGTCACACACACTGTATGATCTGTGGTGACGTGTTACACTGTATGATCTGTGGTGACGTGTTACACTGTATGATCTGTGGTGACGTGTTACACTGTATGATCTGTGGTGACGTGTTACACTGTGTGATCTGTGGTGACGTGTTACACTGTATGATCTGTGGTGACGTGTTACACTGTGTGATCTGTGGTGACATGTTACACTGTATGATCTGTGGTGACGTGTTACACTGTGTGATCTGTGGTGGCATGTCACATCATATCACATGTAACAGCCTAGTGTTTCACATGTCTGGTAGTGTTACATGGCATCATGTTACTGCAGTTGGATCCTATTGAGTGGTACTGCAGGAGGGTGTCTGTTTGTCTGTTTTTTGTCTCTCTGGCCAGGGATACGTCGCAGGTTCCCTGTTCCCACCCAGTATCTCCCTCCCCACCCCCCCTACCACGCACAGGTTGTCCTGGGGTGGACAGAACCACGGCTAGAAGGGATGGGGGTACCTGCCCTCAGCTGTGGCTCATTCTGCCAGTGGGCATGGCCTGCATGGGCCTCCTGCAGACGCTTCCCTGTCATGCTGTGGGGCTGTGTCGGGGCCTGCCTGCCCCTTTCTAACCTCTCAGGTGTCACACCTGTGCCCCGCCCTGGAACTCACCCGCCAGGATGAGCACCTTGTGGGACACACACACGTGGTCAGTGGCAGTGCAGTTCGTGGGCAGGCAGTGGCGGGGGCTGGACACCTTGAAGCACTGGAAACAGCTCAGGTTCTGGGCTGTGGGCAAAGCACCCAGTGAGCGTCAAGCTGCCTCCCACTGTTGCCCCCACTTACCTTGGCAGCTCTGCTCACCTGGCACCTCCAAACAACCTGTATCCTCAGCCAGCAGCAGGGACGTCCACAGGACCAGAATGAGTCCCTCCATGGCACAAGGGCCTTCCTGGGAGGAAGTGACTTTGCCTAGTTCCTTCTGGCTTCTGGTTCTATCTGCTGCCTGACTTTGGCCTCAGCCCCCTCCCACACCCCCATCCACAGCCAGGGGCAGTCCCAGCCCTCCTCTGGCACCTGCACCTGCTCAGGCTGACTGTCCTGGAGGCGAAGTTAAGGATCTCAGCTGGCTCTGGCTCAAGGAAGGACCCCTGAGGGCCTAGGTGTCCTTGGGGACCCAGGAAGGGGCAGGGCTGAATCGCAGTGGGTAGAGGAGGGCTGGCCTCCCCACCTGCAGACAACACCCCCCCCCCCAAAGGCAGCTCAGCTCTGAGGGTCCTTTTCCTAGCAGAACACACTGTGCAGGGATGCCGGGGGCTGGCTCTTAGCCCAGAAGCTGGGATTATGTGGGGGAAGCAACCAGGAAGTCAGGGGCTGTGAGGGGGAGGAGGGACGGGAGGGGTTGTGGGTGGTGGGTCTGGACAGAGCGCTCAGGCAGGCAGCAGCCCAGGAAGGGCCAGGTAGAGGGAAGCGGGGGTGGGCTAATCCCACCACAACCCCAGTGGCTTCCCAGTCCGCCCCCTCCCGCCACCGGTCAGGTGAGGCTTGCGGGGCCAGCTGTGCGGGAGTGGATAGGAGGCCTGCTCTCTTCGATTCTGCCCCGGCTCTGTCTTCCAGGTCTTGGAGCCCTCGCCGGTGTGTAGGCAGGCAGGGCACGCGGCTGCTTGCACCACCCAGGCTGGCCTATTCCTTTCCCTTTGTTTCCTAACGGCGTTGCAACAGCTGCTCCAAGCAGGATGCCCGCCCCTCAAAAGGGTCCTGCGGAGGCCAACTGGGCTGACCAGGGTCCCAGGAGGCTCCCTGCACCTCCAGGGCACCGCTCCCTGTGGCCCAAATGCTCAAGTGTGTGAGCAAATGGCAGTGGGCTGCATGGGGTGTGTGTGTGTGTGTGTGTGTGTGTGTGTGTGTGTGAGAGAGAGAGAGAGAGAGAGACAGAGAGAGAGAGAGGCCCTCGGTGCTCCCGGCCCCACCCCAAGACCGTTGCGGCAAGGGGAGCCGGTAGGCTGTCAGGTTGTGCCCCGAGGCAGCAGCACCCCTGGGGAGGTGGGTGACGGCTGCCTCCTGCTTGGGCGGACCCCGGTGCCTGGCAGGTGTTTGGCCACGACACTGCTCAGGACACCCACATGATGGCACCTGTGTTCTGAGTCTCTTGGCTACCCTCCTGCTTCAGATGCTGCACGTTTCGTGCGGGGGTTGAGGGTCTGCCTCGGTGGGAACTGTGTCTCTGCATCCGTTTCTGCGTCACTCGCCGGACACTCCAGGTCAGTGGCCTGACATGCCCCTTTGCTCGAGGAGTCTTCTGTCCATTTCCTCTGGCCACCCTCGTGTGGCCCTGGGCAGCACAGCTGGAGGAAGGGGCCCTTTCTGTGTTCCCTGGAGTGCTGCCCGGCTGGGCGTGCACAGTTCTGGGCTGCTGCTTCCTTGCCTCCCCTGGGGACATGGTGTAGGTAGGAAGGACATTGTGAGTCTTTTGCCATGCACAGCCAGAGCCAGCTGAAAATGACTAGTCCGGGAATTCGCTGCTCCACGTGCTAGATGAATAGCTTGTCTTAGGGAGCTGGCCCTTGCTGTTGAAGCCCCCTCCCGTGGTGCCCTCGTGACAGCCTTCTCTTGAAAGTCTGATGCTGGCGACAGACCCCGACAATCTGACATCACAGCAGTCCACGCGTGGTGTGTCGGCTCAGCCTCACAGCAGTCCACGCGTGGTGTGTCGGCTCAGCCTCACAGCAGTCCACGCGTGGTGTGTCGGCTCAGCCTCACAGCAGTCCACGCGTGGTGTGTCGGCTCTGGGCACCGAGTCCATCGCTGCAGGCCAGTGAACAGTGTAGCACGCCGGGAATGTCTGAGTGCTGTTTGTGCCTCTGGTTTCTGGAACGATTGTGTGGTCTTGGTGTGATTTTTCTTTTCAAAGATTTATTTATTTTATTTGGAAAGGCCAAATTAGAAAGAGAAGGAGTGACAGATAGATCGTCCATCATCTGGTTCACTCTCCAAATGGCCACAATTACGAGTTGAGCCTATCCAAACTCAGGAGCCAGCAGCTTCTTCTGGGTCTCCCACGCGGGTGCAGGGGCCCAGGGACTTGGACCGTCCTTGACTGCTTTCCTAGGCCACAGACAGGGAGCTGGATGGGAAGCAGGGCCACTGGAATTAGAACCAGTGCTCATGTGGGATCCAGGAATGCAAGATGAAGACTTTAGCTGCTAAGTTATTGTGCCAGACCCAATGTTTTTACTTTATTCTTTCCCCTGGTTCACTTCCCCGGATGCCTGCGGTGACCAGGGCAAGCCAAGAACCTGGAACTGTGTGTGTTGATGTCCAATGTGGGTGCAGGGTCCAGGCACCTGAGCATGCACCTCACCTGTGCATTAGCTGGAAGCTGGCTTGGAAGCAGAACGGCCAGGACTTGAACTGGTTCTCTAGCATGGATGCGGGTGTCCAAGTGGCCTCTCAACCGCCGTGCCAAATGCCTGCCCCAGGCTGCCTCTCTCACGGCTCTACAAAGCACACATCCCCCCGTGCTGAGGGGCTTTGCAGGGGTTCAAGGTTTCTCAGAAGCACCGCGGGCAGAGCAGGTGCGCTCTGGCAGTACGGCCCCTCAACCCATCACGCCTCCTTGCATCTGGCTTCTGGGGGCGCCATGGCCTCTTCCACCTTCACTTCTCAGGCCTTGACCAGCCTAGGAGCTCCCTGCCTCTAGTGCCAGTCCTCCAAATTGGGCACAGGAAGGCCTCCATGAGGCTCCGACCCCACGGGGGGGGGGCAGCGGGGTCACTTGTCCTATGTTCTCTTCCTGGGACTCCGCCAAACTGCCCATGGATTAACGAGGCCTTTCTGAGTCTAGACAGTAACCGCACAGCTCCTTGAGTCCTTCCACCAGGCCCGCCCCACACTCAGTCCTCCTTCCCACAGCCCACCTCACTTCCCTTCATCTCCCCTGTCCCCCTGTCCCCCTGTCCCCTTAGTGGCCCTTCAGTCTGTGGTTAGCCTTGGCTGGGAGCCTACCGTGGTTCCTTGCGCCCTCTTCTGGCGGCTGCGTGCAGTGTTGTTGGGCGTCCTGCCCTCTGCTGGTTGAGCTGCGGGTGACCTGTTGCCAATCTGCAGCTGCTTCCTGTTGCAACTATGTGATGTTTAATAACATTAAAAATAAATGAAAAAGTATTTGCTTTTATTAAGTCAGATTTACAGAAACAAGGAAAGACAAAGGGAAATATCTTCCACCCACTGATTTTCTCCCCAAATGGCTGCAACAACCGGAGCTGAGCCAATCTGAAACCAAGAGTCCTGAAATTCTTCCAGGTCTCCCATGCAGGTGCAGGGTCCCAAGGCTTTGGGCCGTCCTCCACTGCTTTCCCAGGTCACAGGCAGGGAGCTGGACAGGAAGTGGAGCAGCCGGGCACGAACCGGTGCCCCTATGGGATCCTGGTGATTGCAAGGTGAGAATTTAACCATTGAATCACTGTGCTAGGTCCTGTTGTTTAATAATTCTTTGTGTCTTTTTAATAACAGACTAGAACACATCTCTCAAGGATTGTCTCCCTTTATTCATAGCTTCATCATGTAAGGTTTTCCCTTTTCAATAGTTTTAGTTACTTACTTATATGTGCTTGAAAGGGATACTGTCCACTCTTTGGTCCATCCGAAATGTCCACAGCATTAGGGGTGGACCAGGCGAGGCCAGGAGCCAGGAGTTCCATCCAGGCCTCCCCCGTGGCTGCAGAGGCCAAGCACTCGGCTGATGCTCTACAGTGTCTCTGCGTGTTTCTTCTCTTTCCTTTTCCACGCGCCTCTGCTCTTTGGAGCTTGATGTCACTTTTGTTCTTGCTTCTCCTTGGATTTGGTCATGTGTCCTGGGCCGGGACACTGCTGTGGGCGAATGCCTGGCCAGTGCTGTTCTCTGGAGGTGGCTGAGGTGCTGATGAGGGGCCTGGCTACACGTAGGCTGGAGTATCTGGCAGCAGCGAGAGGCCCATGCTGCTTCCCTCTTGTGATCCGGTCTGTCCCTCACTGTGGGTCTGAGCTCCAGCCCATCTTCTGAGTGCCTAAAGACCCTGCTTGGCTCTTCAGGTCTGCCCTGGATGCTGGCTCTATGCAACCTGGCCTGGGCGTCTTTGCCCTCCCTAAGAAGCAAAATTTAGGGAAAATCTTTTGCAACATTGGGCCAAGATGTCTTAGGCCATGAGAAGCATGAACTCTGCAAGAATGAACTGTAAGTCAGAATCATCAAGTTTTAAAATTCCACTTTTAAGAGGGTTGGTGCCATGGTGTTCAGGCCAAACCTCTGTCTGCAGTGCCAGCATCCCATGTAGGAATGGGTTCAAATCCCAGCAGCTCCACTTCCCATCCAGCTCCTTGCCTGTGGCCTGGGAAAGCAGTGGAGGATGGCCCAAAGCCTTGGGACCCTGCACCCGCATGGGAGAATTGGGAAAAAGTCCTGGCTCCTGGCTCCAGGCTGGCCTGCTGTGGCCGTTGTGGCGACTGGGCAGTTAGTCAGTGCTGGAAGATTTCTCCCCTTCCTCTCTGTAACTATCTCTGTCTCAAATAAAATCAATAAATCTCTTAAAAGAGAGAGAGAGGCTGGCATGAGACCAGGCCAGAAGAGGCAATCTTGTGGCAACCTGTGGGAGCTCGAGAAGGGTGCGTGGAGTAGGTGTGAAAAGGACAGAAACGGACCACTACAGTTCCAGGATCACAACGGACAATGCAAGGAAACTGTCCCCTTTATTTATACACAAGCAGTCACAAGCTCTGGCACAGACTTTTTTTTTTTTTTAATTTTTAAATTTTTTATTACATATATATATATTTTTACAATCTTTACATAGTTAATTAGGGTAAAAAGGTTCAAGGGCTATAGGGAAGTGGGTAAGACTATTATTTCCATATTGTTTCCTTCATGTATCTGAGGTAAAGGGGGATATTGAGGGAGAAGCCCCA